GGTGGTGGTGGTGGTGGGGTGCATAATTATCAATTAACGGTCGAGTGAGTGAGTTAGTTAACGATAACACGAACACTGCAGAGAGGCAGCAGCAGAAGCAGCGACAACTTACGGGATGGAGATGGTGAGCTCGGTCAGCGGCCGGTTGGCCACCAGCTCGATGTTGCAGTTGGCGCCGTTGGGCCAGCAGTTGAGCACCAGCGGCGGCCAGCCGCCGTCGCCCTTCGGACTGGTCCGCCGGTACTTCAGCACGCCGACGCTCGAGTTGAGCGGAAAGGCCTTCTGCCGGAGGGAGATCAGCCCCTGCGAGCGGAACAGCTCCTTGTCGACGTTCGGGTGGCTCTGAAAGGAGTGGGGGAGAAAAAGGAGGTAAATAAAATCAAATAGGGAAAAGTATGAAGCACCCGAACCTGAATTTGCACATTCTCCGCATCGGCGCACTCCACGGAGAACTTCACCTTGACCAGGGCCTCGTCCTTGATCAGCACGAGGACGGCGCCGGTCAGCTCCGAGGTGCGCACCGCCCCATCACGGGAGATCTCCACGTTGAGGCGCTCCTCGACGGTGATCTGCACTGGCTGGTCAGAGCCGAGGACGTCGCCTGAAGAGGCACCACTGCCGCCGCCGCGAGCCGAAGACTGCTGCTGCTGCTGCTGAAGACCCTTCGACTCGGCCTTCAGCTCATTCGTCAGCTGCTCCTCAGGCGGTGGCGCAAAGAGGTGCGAGTTCTGGCTCTTCGAGCCGAGCTTCAGCGCCTTCGATGGTCCCTGTTGAAAGAGCGATAAGTACAGATATGATTAGAGTTGGAAACTGCTCATCTGGGGAGAGAGAACTTACCTTGGGCTTTGCGCTGAAGGAGCTGTTTTGATTGCCGCCGCTGCTGCTGCTGATGGGAGCACTGATGCGACTGGTGCCGCCATTGTCGAACTTGCTGTTGCTGCCACTGCCGCCTCCGTAGGCGCTGTCTGAGCTGCTGATGCCCGAGTAAGAGCTTCCGCCGCCGCCTCCTGACGGGCCACCACCTCGCAGACGCTCCACCTGCTGGGTCCTCTGCAGGCGACTGAGCTCCTTCGCCTTCTCGCGCATCTTCTGCTTGGCGTCGCGCTCCTGCGTCTTGCGCACCGCCTCAAAGACGCGCTCCTCGTGGGAGTCCATCTCGATGAAGGTGCGCACCTGGGACATGTTCACATTCTCCCGGTAGCCGAGGGCGACGATCTCGTCGAAGGCGAAGAGCAGCGTGAAGGCGTTGTCGAGGATCGCCTGCTCGTCGGAGGTGTTCTTCCCCGAGGTGGTCGTGTACTCGTTGATGACGCGCACAAAGAGGCGCAGCGTCTCCAGGTCCTCCAGAATGTTGGACGTCTTGGTGGTGATCAGCACGCAGTACAGCTTGTCCATCAGCGCCTGGTACACGTATCTCACCTGTATAAAAAATAGACATTAGCTGATGATGATGACGACGACAATCGTACCGTGTCCGTCTCAATGAAGGTGTGCTGCTTGTCCTTGGTGATCAATTTGGAGAAGGCCGTCAAGACACCTGCAGAAGAGGTGGTGCTTTTAGATTAAGCTCAGTAGATCATCACTATCAGCCTTACCTTCAATCCTCGATCGGGACATCTCCACAAACTGCCGCGAGACCAGTATTTTGCCATTCTGCTTGGAGATAACGGCGCTGGCGAGGAGAACCTGAGTTTATAAGGAGAAGTCGTTTGTAAACAATATTTTCTAGCTCAAATATAGTCTCTCTCGCTTACCATGACGGCAAAGAATATGGCCCCAGAAGAAATCGGTGGTGCTGATGATGATGATCGTCTGAAGGTAAGCTGACTGGTGGTGGTGGTGGTAGTGGTGATGACCGGCAAGTGTCAATGTGAGCCAAAACACAGAACACAGAAGAGAGAAGAGAGAAAACAGCAGCAGATGCAAACGCGAGACAGCCACGTCAGTTTCGGCAAAACAGATACTCTTTTGGTGGGCCAGTCACAGACGGCGTGATCGGCCGTGGTGGGC